GCCCAGCTCTCACCCACAGCACCCCCAGCTCCTTCTCCCAGGGCTGCTCCCTCTGCTCAGCCCAGCCGGGTTTATCCCGGGATTGCCCTGACCCGGTGCCGCTCCAGCACTCGTTCTTTCCGACACACTCGGTTCCAGCGAATTTAAAAAATTTGTTCAAAATTTGCTGCCCACAGTGTTCAGTCATCTATAGTCAGTTCCACGTGCCGAGGACCTTGTGTTGAAAAGCAACACATGATGCTCCTGTATTTGTCATCTCCTCCTGGGCAGATGTACCTGAAGTCTCTCCGTGCCAGGGTTTGCCAAGTGTGGTGCAAATTACACATTTCTGTGACTCTGGGGGCAAAACACCCATTTCTGTAATAGTATTATAATATTGTATATAATGTGTATAATATCGTATATAATATCATAATATAATATATAATATATAATATATAACATATAATATATCATATATAACATATAATATATAATATATAATATATAATGTATATAATATATAATATATAATATATATTATATAACATATAATATATAACATATAATATATAATATACAATATATAATATATAATGTATAATAATAATCATATAATGTATTATATATTATATATTATATTTATATGATATAATGATACAAAATAATAATGATATTGATAATGATAATGATAATGATGATGATGATGATGATGATAATAATAATAATAATAATAATAATAATAATAATAATAATAATAACAATAATAATTCAGATTAATAATAAAAAACGGAAGACCCCGTGCCAAACCAGGGGTTTCAGGGAGACCTGGGCCAGCCCTGCCAGCTGGCCAGAACACACATTGCTGGAACCAAACCACCCTGGGTAAATAATTAATGTGCTGTCCCTTACAAACAAACACAGCTCAGTCAGAGACAACTCTTTTTATAGTCTGTTAAAAAAAAAAAAAAAAACAAAAAACCACAAAAATACAACAAAAACAACAAAAAAAACCCAAACTAAACAAACAAAGCAAAAAACCCCCCAAAAATCCCACAGAAACCAACCAAAGAAAAACACAATAAAAACCCATAACAAAAAACAAAACCAACAAAACCCCCAAAAACAAACCCCAAAAAACCATGAAGAAAACAGAACCAAACCAACAAAAAACACCCAAAAAACTCACCAAACAAACAACAAAAAAAGAAGATCATGTTTATTTTTCTGCCCTGTCAGCTGCAGGATCCCACCTGGGCCATGGGGAGCAGCTGACAGCAAGGCTGGGACGCCCACAGCTGGATTTCACATCTGGATTCAGCACCCACAGCTGCATTTCCCAGCTGGATTTCCCTTCCCAGCTGGATTTAGCACCCACAGCTGGATTTAGCACCCACAGCTGGATTGCCCAGCTGGATTCAGCACCCACAGCTGGATTCAGCACCCACAGCTGGATTTAGCACCCACAGCTGGATTCAGCACCCACAGCTGGATTTTCCTGCCCAGCTGGATTCAGCACCCACAGCTGGATTCAGCACCCACAGCTGGGTTTAGCACTCACAGCTGGATTTCCCTGCCCAGCTGGATTCAGCACCCACAGCTGGATTCAGCACCCACAGCTGGATTTCCCTGCCCAGCTGGATTCAGCACCCACAGCTGGATTCAGCACCCACAGCTGGATTTCCCTGCCCAGCTGGATTCAGCACCCACAGCTGGATTCAGCACCCACAGCTGGATTTCCCAGCTGGATTTAGCACCCACAGCTGGATTCAGCACCCACAGCTGGATTTTCCTGCCCAGCTGGATTCAGCACCCACAGCTGGATTCAGCACCCACAGCTGGATTGCCCAGCTGGATTCAGCACCCACAGCTGGATTCAGCACCCACAGCTGGATTTCCCTGCCCAGCTGGATTCAGCACCCACAGCTGGGTTTCCCAGCTGGATTTCCCTGCCCAGCCGGATGCAGCGCCTGGGCCAGGCGCGGGCTCTCCGTGCTGCCCTCAGGGCACAGCTGCTGCCTGTCTGTGCTGCAGGGACCCTCCCCGCTGTCCCCACTCGTGCTGCCCCAGCAGCAGGGGATGTGCAGCTCCCAGCCCTGCTGATGGGCTGCGCTGCCCTGGAACATCCCCGCTCCCACACAGCTCTCCACACCGCGCTTCCTCCCCTCCCTGCCTCCTCCCCGCACCATGGAACGCTCCTTCTGCAGCTCTGACCGGTCCTTCTGCTGGTGACAGCTGGAAAAAGGGGAACCAAACTGGAGGAGCTCTTCCAGGAAGGCAGAAGGATGTTTAAAGTGAGCTATTTGGAGCCTAAAAGGGATTTTAGAAACTCTCCCTTTACACCCCCAGCAGGTGTCACAGCCCCCGCACGGTGCAGAGCAGAGCCCTTGTCTGCTGTCAGGGGAGCCCTCGGGCACATCTGCTGGAATGCAGAGGAATTCTGCTCCCTGGCAACCCACAGATGAGTAATGGGAAGATAAACCCACTGGGAACACAGGCAACTGATGGTCCAACCTCTCCTGAGCGGCACGCATGTTCCTGCTAATTTAATTCAGGTTTCATTAGCAGTCAGGATCACCAGGCGATTTGTACCCAGACTTCGAGGAGAGGGGAGCAGGCTGAGCAAGGACACAGGGTCTGCTGGAAAAGCGGCAGCTGTAATTTGTTCTGAAATGCTAAAATGCACTGAATGGAAAGTGCAGCAGCTCTGCATAACCCAGCACTGGGTGTGTGATGTGCCCAAGAGCAATCCGTGTTTGAATGCACAGCAGTGACCTGGCCTTGAGTGCAGACCCAGCACTTCAGCTCTTCTGGTCAGGGCAAGGAGCATTCCCTCCCTCGGCTCTCCCTGTGGAATAAACGGCATTAGAATTGCACCGATATTTCAGCTGTGCAGCCAATGCCCAGAGCTGTCACCTGGAGAGGCCCTGGCCGCTGCTGCAGTGGGATGCTCCCTGCCCTCGCTGCCCTTTACCCAAAATCTCCCGTTCTGAGCCCGGATTCACATCCCAAATCAAAGGCCTGAAGCCGTGCCCTGGGCTGCCAGTCACGGCTGTGCATAAACAGGTGTAAAAACGGGGGTTTGGGGTTGTTCCTGTCACAAGGAGGCACAGCAGGGTGGGTCAGGACAACAAAGCTGTTTGTCCCTGTGTGAAACCCGGCACAGCTCGGCTCCTGACCATCAGAATTGGGTGTGGTACCACGGCCCCTGCACGGGACACTGCTTCTGTCAGAGAGAAGAAAATACAGCTTGTGGGGAGATAAAACACATCCACAGAGCCTGCCTGTATCACTCGGCATTTCTGAGAGACAAACAGAGAGATCAGCAAGTTCCAGGTTCTTCACACCTGCCACTCCTCCCAGCATTATTGTTGTAAGAAATCAAAGAATCCTGTGGGAATATATAAAATTAAGAGGGTTTTGGGAAAGCTGCAAAAGGCAGGCCTCAGAGACAGCAGGACTGTGACTAGACCAAAGCAGTAGCCATGAGATTGGTTAGCAAAAAAATTATGTAAGGAGTAAAAAAGTAAGGACAAATAGAACAATGGTCTGTGTATTAATGCTTGTCTAAAATAACTCTTAAAGTTGCAGAAAAGTTTATCTACTCAGATATTAGGAAGTTTTAAGCGTAATAATGGAGCTCTGGGCATTGTGTTGTAAGGCTTACAAGCAGGTGTTGTGTTTGAAATAAGCAAGCATTGCTTTAGCTGAAGGTACCTGTGCTTATAGTTGGATGGAACTGCTGTCACTGTGCTTTTGCTTTGCGTGATTGCTCAAAAAACTTTTAAGGTGAGTCGTAGCATTTTTAGTTTGCTACCTAAAATGTGAGCTAATACCATCGTTTCATTGTCACAACTGTGTAATGAAACCCATGCTAGAAAACAAAACAGCTCCAGAGGCGTTTCTAGTCATTCAGTCTCGTTCGTAATTTGTGCGCAGCCCCCAGCCAGCAATAAATCCCTCCACATCTGCAGCATGAGTGAAGGCAAGACGTGGATGTGGGTGTGAGTCAGCTCTGATTTACTGCCAGCACAGGCAAGACAGAGGCTGGGCAGGGTGGGAATAGCAATGGAACTCGCCTTGCTCCCCGTGGCCAGAGACTGGGAATGCCACCCTGCTCCTCTCTCTGCCTGTGCTGCATTTCAGCCCAGCACAGGCACTGCACTGTGGAAACTTAGAATTTTTAGAATGAAGTTTAGAAATTTTCAGAATTTTTCGGTAAGTTAAAGTATTCGATTTGAGATTTTGGATAAGGTTTCTAAACTTAAGTGTTTAGTACTTTAGAAACTCACTTAACTCAGAAGTGAGAATGTGGATGTATAGTTTAAAGCAGACACACGTTAAGCTAAGTAAAGGAAACTTTAGACTTTTAAAAGTTAAAATACAGAAAAAAATAGTTATAAAAGTAATTAAGAAATTTAAATTACAGTGCCGTAAGTTTGTGTGTTGTAATTAACTAAAAAAGTTACATTGTCGCATGAATCTATAAGATAAAATATTTAAAGATTTTGTTCTTGTTCACAGGGTTTTATTAGCTAATAAATCTTTACAAGGTTTTGTAACCAGAAGTCTTGTGACATTCTGAGCTGTGCTATGAAGATGTGAGCTGGACTCACCTTTCTTACTTATGTAAAAGATAAAAAAATAAAACGCATCATCAAAAATGATTCAAAAGTCTCGTCTCAATTCAAAATTCCTCACAGCGTCAGAGCAGCAAATTCAGGTAAAACCTGGGGAAGCCCAGCTTCTGGTTTGAGGTGGGGAGGAGAGCAGGTGGAAGCAGGCTCTGTGCGTCCCTTCAGGTCACTGCAGAACCAGGCTGAGCGCGTGCAGCTGACGTTCCCCCACAGGGGCATTTCTTTGGACACAGATGTGCCTCTGTCAGGATAATCCATCCTTTAAATGCATTTGGAGGGACAGTTCAGTACTTGCCACCTGCCTGGAGACTTCCAGAGCGTGCTTCCCAAACGTTACTGGGTGTGAAAACGCAGGGCTGGTGCTCCAGAGCTTTGAGTGGATCAAGCGGTCAATTCCCTTCTGACAGGAAGCCTAAATTGACTTTATTTATGAGAAACTTCATCTGCAGGTGTGGAACGAGAAGAGCTCCTGCACCTGAGCCCAGCAACGCCCCCAGTCTCACCCGCTCCGTGGTCACAAAGATTTTCACTGTTCAGCTGGGATCTTGTTATTAAGTCTTTGGTTTTTACTGTTTCACTGGGATCTCTGTGGTCACAAATCCTGAGTTTTCACTTTTTAATTGGGATCTCTACTGTCACAAAGTCCTTTGTTTTCATTTTTTAATTGGGATCTTGTCATGAAGTCCTGAGTTTTCACTTTTTCATTGAGACCTCTGTGGTCATGAAGTCCTTGTTTTTCAGTGTTTCATTGGGGTCTCATGATGAAGTCCTCAGTTCTCACTGTTTCATTTGGATCTCTGTGCTCACAAAGTCCTTGGTTTTCAGTTTTTTATTGGGATCTCATGATGAAGTCCTTGTTTTTCACTGTTTCATTGGGATCTCATTATGAAGTCCTCATTTTTCAGTTTTTCATTGGGATCTCATAATGAAGTCCTTTTTTTAAACTGTTTCATTGGGATCTCACGATGAAATCCTCATTTTTCAGTTTTTCATTGGGATCTCATGACGAAGCCCTCAGTTTTCACTGTTTCATTGGGTTCTCTGTGGTCACAAAGTCCTCGGTTTTGTTTTTCATTGGGATCTCATGACGAAGTCCTCATTCTCACTGTTTCATTGGGTTCTCTGTGGTCACAAAGTCCTCGGTTTTGTTTTTCATGGGTATCTCGATGGTCATGAAGTCCTCGGCCAGCGTCACCTCCTGGCCGCCCATCACGGCCTCGGCCTCCCTCCTGAGGGTGCCGATGTCGCCGTGGCCGCCGCCGCGGGGCCGGTACCGCTGGCTGAAGTGGGTCAGCACCAGCCTGCTGGCGCGGCACTCCAGGGCGAAGCGCGCGGCCAGGCCGGGCGTGCTGTGCCCGCGCAGGCGCGCCGCGTCCTGCTGGCCGTCGCCCAGCGTGGCCTCGTGCACCAGCAGGTCGGCGTGGGCGCAGAGGCGCCGCGCGCCCGGCCCCACGGGCCCCGCGCAGTCGCCCAGCACGCAGACCTTCCTGCCGGGCACGGGCGGGCCCAGCACATCCTCGGGCCGCACCGTCACGCCGCCGCTCAGCTCCACGGCGCGGCCGCGCTTCAGCTCCCCGTACGCGGCACCGGGCGGCACTCCTGCCGGGGAAAGGAAAACAGCCCTAAGCGCTGCACCCGCCGCGCTGTTATTGCTGTGTCAGCTTCAGAATACGCCTCCTGAGGTGTGCTAGGCAGAAAGCTGGCTCACCGGGGAAAAACACAACCTCACTATTAAAATCAGCCAATATTTCAGATTTTTCGTACAAATTAAGAGCTTGTAACCTTAGCAGGATATGACTTTCAGACAACGCATTATTTAAAAGCAGAGATTTCCTTCTTATGTCCTGGAAGATTGCAAACACACAGCCCAAGCACAAGGAAGCGTGTTTGAAGAAAATAATGGAATCCTAGAATAGCCTGGGTTGGAAGGCACCTCCAAGTTCATCCTGCTATGGGCAGGGACACCCTGCACTGTCCCAGGACTGGACACTTCCAGGGATGGGGCAGCCACAGGGAAACTGCTCAGGGAAACTATATTAAAAAACCCCAATTATATTGCTCGTATTAAAGTCAAGAAAATCATGCAAATACACTGGCCGTGTGTTTTCCCGAAAGCCACGCTGAGCTGTTTAAACTCTGGCTAAACCTGAGCTTGTCAGCTGTTGCCAGCATGGAAGCGGTCTGTGGCATTCCCTGGCACCAGTGTCACACACCGGATCAGCCTGGAGGTCAGGTGCCAGACAGAAAATGGAAAATTGGGTTAAAACAGACTATGGAGAGAGACAGCAGCTCAGGTTTGCTAGAACACATAGGAAGGTGGCCATAAAAGAAGTAAAAAGAGGAAAAACAAGCCGAAGTAGGTACCAAGTTCTTGCAGCAAGTGCACTTTGAGCTTCCCAGGCCGCGGCTTCTCCTCCATCACGAAGCCGAAGGAGGGCACGCGGTGGAAGAGGCGGAAGGCCCTCACGGACAGCTCCCCGTCCTCCAGCAGCAGGTACGAGTCTGTTTCTGCATCCAGGTGCAGCACCGTCCCTGGAGGCGCCTGGGCCAGCGCCGCGCCCCGGTCCAGGCCCGAGAAGTCGCGGAACTCCCCCGCGGGGCACTGGTCCTGCGTGGGGACCAGCTCGTGCACGCGGCAGGGCGGCAGCGGCTGCGAGTGGGACAGCTCCAGGCTCCTCCACAGGAAGCTCCGCAGCCCCAGCGGCCCGTAAATATCGATGGGCGCCTCGCTGGCGTCAGGGCTCCTCTGCAGGCCCAGCGTGCACAGCAGCCCAGGGAGACCAAACATGTGGTCGCCGTGAAGGTGAGTGATGAAAATCTTGGTGATTTTGGCTGTTGAACAGAGCAGGAAAAGACAAAGACAGGAAAATAAACAGCGTAACCACTCAGAAATGATCGCTGTTTGGTGAGATGTTTGAAACAAGATGTCTGAAACAAGCGAGGAGGGAAATTAAAACCAGCGCTTAATGGACAAATCCCAGCCCAAAAGGTGTTTCTTTCCCCATCCCTTCCACACAAAGCAGATTTTGGCCTGATAGGCCAAGAAGAGGCTGCAGAGATGCAAGGTTTAGCTCCTTCTAAGCCAAGCATTCCACAAGCACGGAATGGGCCAGGCTGGTGACATCTGCCACGTGAAATGAAGGATGTGCTGGGAAGCATTTGAGCTTCCATCTTACAGAAAATCTGCACACTAACCAGGAACACAATGAGGAATTTGTGTTGCTCCTTCCAGCCCATGGAACGAACAAAATCAAAAATAACCAAAAGCAAACCAGCACGCCGTTTTGATTTCAGAGTTTTTTAAGAGGCAAGAACTGCACCTTTGCTGACTTGTTTGCTTAAAACAAGAGAAAAAATGGCTCTGTAAATGTCTGGGCTTTCTTTGGTGCCTGGGCTGCCTGGGCCCAGCTGGGCCCTGCCCAGAAGAGCCCAGAACTCTCTCATTGCAGACACAAGTCCTTTAACCAGGCTGCCTCTGTCTCTGCTGAACTCCCATCTCCAAAGAGCCAGGCATTTCCTCCAGCAGCTGCTGGGACTGAGCCACAGGAATGACAGAATCTCCTGCTTTTGTTTGAAGATGATTTCAGTAAACAACTTCATAGAAGTCACTCCATCTACCTGACATTAAATTCCCTGATAGGTTTTGGAGGAGCAGGAGCTTGTATTTCTGTTTGTAACTGACAATTCTTCTCCATTCTTTGGGGGAGAGAAGTCAGCTCTGGCCATTGAGGACTGTGGAAGCACAGCGGCTGTGACAGTGAGGTGAGCTTTAGTCCTGATTCATTTGCCAAAAGGTGAAAGTTACCCCCAACACACAGAGCCTCTCTTGAAAAGAGACATTTACCCACAGGAAGGCTCACCGCAGGTTTGCCTGGAGCTGCCTCCAGACAAACAACCAAACCGTTCCTGTTTCAAGCTGCTCTGCGGGCCGCGTTTGACATTGCTAAGCGTGATGAATTAATTCTGATTGTCTCTGCGCCCAGGGGCAGACAGAGATGGCTGTGGAGCAGGTCGGGCAGCCCTTCCCTTCCCTTCCCTTCCCTTCCCTTCCCTTCCCTTCCCTTCCCTTCCCTTCCCTTCCCGCCCTGCCCTGCCCGGCGGGCGCCTCGCGGAGCTGTCCCCCAGCCGAGGGCACACACCTGCCCGCAGGTGGCTCCTCATGAGCTGTGTCTGCGTGCCCTCGCCGCAGTCGAAGAGCCAGCACTGCCCTGCCCTGCGCAGCACCAGCGCCGAGGCCCCGCGGGACGGGCTCGGGAAGCCCGCGCCAGTGCCCAGGAAGGTGACATCCAGCGACATCCCGGGAGGGTGGCACCGGCAACACCGAGCGGCTGCTGGCCGGGACACAGAGCATGGAGTCACTGAGCACAGAGCAGGTGCCTGCTGGAACACAGAGCAGCTACCTGTTCAAACAGAGCACAGAGCACAGAGCAGCTACCTGTTCAAACAGAGCACAGAGCAGCTACCTGTTCAAACAGAACACAGAGCAGCTACCTGTTCAAACACAGAGCACAGAGCAGTTACCTGTTCAAACACAGAACACAGAGCAGCTACCTGTTCAAACAGAACACAGAGCAGCTACCTGTTCAAACAGAACACAGAGCAGCTACCTGTTCAAACACAGAACACAGAGCAGCTACCTGTTCAAACACAGAACACAGAACACGGAACACACACCAGCTGCCTGCTGAGACACAGAACACAGAGCAGTTACCTGTTCAAACACAGAACACGGAACACAGAGCAGTTACCTGTTGGAACACAGAACACAGAGCAGTTACCTGTTCAAACACAGAACACGGAACACAGAACACAGAGCAGTTACCTGTTCAAACACAGAACACAGAGCACAGAGCAGCTACCTGTTCAAACACAGAGCACAGAGCAGCTACCTGTTCAAACACAGAGCACAGAGCAGTTACCTGTTCAAACACAGAACACGGAACACAGAGCAGTTACCTGTTCAAACAGAACACAGAGCAGTTACCTGTTGGAACACAGAACACGTGTGCCAGGCTCTGGGACAGGAACAGCTCCCAGGGACAGCTGGAGCTGTTTCAGGAGGGTTAGGCTGGGTATCAGGGACTCTTCCCCAGAGGGTGCTGGCACTGCCCAGGCTCCCCAGGGATGGGCACAGCCCCGAGGCTGCCAGAGCTCCAGGAGCCTTTGGACAGCGCTGCCAGGGATGCCCAGGGTGGGGTTGCTGGGGGTCTGTGCAGGGCAGGGGCTGGAATGGGTGATCCTGGTGGGTCCCTTCCACTTTGGGGTGTTCTGTGATTTGATGTATTTGTGCAGGGAAGCCAACAAACATTTTTGTTTGAAGTGAAGGCATCCTCCCTCCACAGTTCAGTGTGAGGATAAAATTCCCTTTCCTTTAAAACATAAAAGTAAAACCTGCCTAGAGCAGGATATGACTTTCAGACAACGCATTGTTTAAAAGCAGAGATTTCCTTCTTATGTCCTGGAAGATTGCAAACTCACAGCCCAAACACAAATCCTGTGTGGATTCCCAGAGAAAACAGCCCCATCCAGCTGGAACAGCTCTAAGCTCTTACCCCACCCAACAAATGAATGAATAAATTATTTATCTCCTCTGAGCTCTGTTTAAATGTTGAGCTCTCATGTGTGAGTGTTTCCTCTAGGAGCATTTCAGGATGAGTTTCACTGCACAGTCTCTGCTGACATTTAAACACCATTCCTGGATTTCAGGAGCGGGCAGCGCAGAGATGCAGAGGGGAAGGTCCCTTCTCCCAGAGCAACTTCAGAGAGGCAGGGGTGACCCGAGGGCACAGGCAGGGAACACCTGCTTCACCCCAGATACTGTGCCCAGCTCTGGATGTGTCTGTGACTGCAGGAGGAGCCTGGCTGGTCGGCAGCACACTGCTCTCCCACCTCACGGAGTGGGATTCCTCCAGCCCTAGTCCTCCCAGAATTTGCTCCCGCATTCTTTTCAGAAGGATTTAAAATTTCAGGCGCCTTAATATCTTCAGATAGTTTTTAAAATAATTTCTGAAGTTCAGTTATTTTTAGATGAGTTTCCACAGCCTCCCAGTTTTTGTTCCCTGGGAGGGTGGGCAGGCCCTGGCCCAGGGTGCCCAGAGCAGCTGTGGCTGCCCCTGGATCCCTGGCAGTGCCCCAGGCCAGGCTGGATGGGGCTGGGAGCAGCCTGGGACAGTGGGAGCTGTCCCTGCCCATGGCAGGGGGTGGCACTGGGTGGGCTTTGAGGACCCTCTAATCCAAAGCATTCCAGGATTCTGGAATTCCAGAAGAAAGCTCTCTCTTCCCAGGTGGGCTTGCAGTGTCCTCCCAAACAGACCAAGGTACAACCTGGCCTTGGGGGGCTCGGGGTGAGCCATGATTCATGTCCATCTCAGACCAAATGCAGAAATAAACACTTTGCAAATGCAAATATTTGTATTTTCCTTTTCCTCTGTGTAAAATCATGGGATCGTACAAGAATTGAATGGTTTGGGTTGGAAGGAAATACTTGAAAATATTTGTATTGAAAATAATTGTACTGCCTGCCATGGCAGGGACAGCTCCCACTGTCCCAGGCTGCTCCAAGCCCCATCCAGCCTGGCCTGGGGCACTGCCAGGGATCCAGGGGCAGCCACAGCTGCTCTGGGCACCCTGGGCCAGGGCCTGCCCACCCTGCCAGCCAGCAATTCCTAATTCCCAATGTGCCAAAATCTGTGCCTGCCCTCTGGCAGTGGGAGCCATTGCCTGGGTGCTGTCCCTGCCTGCCTTGTCCCCAGGGGCTGTGCAGCTCTCCTGGAGCCCCTGCAGGCCCTGGCAGGGCTCCGAGCTCTCCTTTCGGCACCCCGGGCCGAGCTCCCCTCAGCCGCCCCCGCTCCGCCCGCGCTCCCGACCCGGGCTCGGAGCTCGGGACACGCGGTGGGGCCGGGGCGGACACGGGGACACCGGGATGGGCTGGGGGGGCCCGGCCCCGCTCCCGACCCGCCCCAACCCCGGCCCGGTCCCGGTTCCAGCCCGGACCCTCTCCCGGTTCCAGCCCAGGCCCGGTCCCGGCCCGGTTCCGGCCTTACCTCGCGGGCGGCGCCAGGCGGGGCGGGCGGGCCGTGAGGAGAGCCCGCCCTGCGCCTGAGGGAGCGGGGGCGGATCGCGCCCTGGAACCGAGAAAAGAACGGGTGCTGGAGCTGCCCCGGGTCAGGGTAACCCCAGGATAAACCCGGCTGGGGGTGAGCAGAGGGAGAAGCTCTGAGAGAAGGAGCTGCGGGTGCTGTGGGTGAGAGCTGGGCCTGCCCCAGCCTGAACCCCCTGCCCTGTTTTCCTCGCTGAGCGATCAGCCCAGGCAATATAACAAATTTTAAAAATTCCCGTTATTATTGGTTCTTATTAGAGTGGCTGTGACAGCACCTTGCCAAAATCCCCTTGTATTCAGCAAAAATACATTGCATTTTCCAGGAGATGAGGTACTTTGCACACCTTTTTCCATCCTGTTCTGCATTCAAACGACAGCTCAACACCAGCAAGGTAGGAAGGTGCAACATTCTAGTTCTGAAACACCTTTTCCTTTCCAAACTCCCCTTTTTGGGCAGTTTGCGTGTGCTGGTGAGGAGCTGGAGGGGCAGCAGCGCTGAGGGCAGCAGGGCTGGCACTGCTGGCACTGCTGGCACTGCTGGGGCTGCGGGGCTGGCACTGCTGCAGAAGCACAGCCTGGCCTGGGCTGATCCGCAGCGTGGGCAGCAGGGCAGGGGGATCCTGCCCCTGTGCCCCTGGGCTCAGGTGAGAGCCCACCTGCAGAGCTGCCCCAGCCCTGGCTCCAGCAGCACAAGGAGCTGGAGCTGCTGCAGCCAGTGCAGAGGAGGCCACGGAGCTGCTGCCAGGGCTGGAGCCCCTCTGCTCTGGAGCCAGCCTGGCACAGCTGGGGCTGCTCAGCTGCACCAGAGAAGCTCCAGGGACACCTCAGAGCCCCTGCCAGGGCCTGCAGGGGCTCCAGGAGAGCTGCACAGCCCCTGGGGACAAGGCAGGCAGGGACAGCAGCCAGGCAATGGCTCCCACTGCCACAGGGCAGGCACAGATTTTGGCAGATTGGGAATTAGGAATTGCTGGCTGGGAGGGTGGGCAGGCCCTGGCCCAGGGTGGGCAGAGCAGCTGTGGCTGCCCCTGGATCCCTGGCAGTGCCCCAGGCCAGGCTGGATGGGGCTGGGAGCAGCCTGGGACAGTGGGAGCTGTCCCTGACCATGGCAGGGGGTGGCACTGGACGGCGGTCGCTTAGGTTCCCTTCCAACTCAAACTATATTTAGATTGCATGATTCTAGGAAAACACCTTAAAGATCATCACATGCAACCATTTACAGAGCCCTTTGGCAAAGGGAATTTTCCCAGTCCTAAATAGATGCAGTATTTTTGAGTTTTGTTTTGTTTTTTCTCAGAATAAAAAACATCAGGTACAACTTAGGCAAAGGGAATGCATTTTACTAAGAAAATAGAAGACTAGAACACACATTTCAATAGAGTTACAACGTTATAAAGTAGGAAGAAACCCCAACCACTTCACATTTTACATACAGTTTTAGTTTCAGCTGAGCAATGACCCTCCCAGGCACAGCCAACCCCGCACAGACCAGGCTGGAACTGCTCTCACAGGTGGCCCAGCAGGCACACGTTGACTTCCACAAGGTAGATATGTTTAAGATAGAAGTAAATGCAGGTCATTTCGCTGTTTTGTTGACAAGGCAGCCATCTTTAGTAGTCCTAAGAGTATATTTATTCCCATTAGGAAGGATCTGGCTGAAGAACGGATGAGCCAAAGCCGGTGGCAGGCAGAGAGCTGAGCTCAGTCTGGGAGCACGACCAGCCAGCTCGGGGCTGCTGCAGCACCAGCAGGACACCTTGACAGAAGCTGCTCCTCCAGCTGCAGCCACAGCCGTGGGGCCCGGGGTGAGTCCTGCCATCCCCACAGAGCCAGAGGCACGGGGAAGCGCTCGGAGCCGTGCTGGATCGTCCCAGGGAGCAGGCACGGCCATCCCCACAGAGCCAGAGGCACGGGGAAGCGCTCGGCCCCGTGCTGGATGGTCCCAGGGAGCAGGCACGGCCATCCCCACAGAGCCAGAGGCACGGGGAAGCGCTCGGCCCCGTGCTGGATCGTCCCAGGGAGCAGGCCGGGCAGGCAGGCCCACACACAGCGAGTCAGATGTGCCTTCAGCAGCGGCAGCTGAGCGGCTTGGCCCAAATCCAGCTGCCAGGCCAGTGCAGCAGAGCTTTGCTCTGCATTTCCTCCTCCCGTGTGACACGGGTCCCTGCCCGCCGCCCGTGGCTGTGACGGAACGGGGCAGCACTCGGATCGTTCTGAGAGCAGAAACCACAGTGGCTTATCCAGAAATGACAGCGGCTTATCCAGTGAGACTGCAACCCCAGCTAGTCTCACACCGATCCGAGAGCTGCAGAGGGGCTCAGCTCTGTGGGATGGCAGAGGGGCTCTGCAGCCAGGCCTGGCTGCTCTCACACCGATCCGAGAGCTGCAGAGGGGCTCAGCTCTGTGGGATGGCAGAGGGGCTCAGCTGTGCCCCTCTGCAGCCAAACAAAACCAGCCGGGACTGCCGGGGCCGGAGTCAGCTGAACTGAAACCTGGGTGGGAGCTGTACAATAATGATCCCCACTCTCCCACAGGAACAGTCACCACGCAGGGGAGGGCTGCTAACGAGAAACTAAAAGGTGTATCGTTCATCTTGGCAGGTACTACCAGAGGAGTGTGACAGAGTTACTTTATCCCCGTAAAACAGCGTGCTGGAAACAACAGTACAAGAGGAAGACACGCACCGACCACAGGAAACCTGTTACACACCACTCTGCAGGCAAAAAAGTGTCACTTGGTTTGAAGCTTGGAAAACAAACACAACAGATCAGGATGCATCACTGTCCACAAATGTAACCGAGAACTCGCACTGGGGGTTTAAAATGTATCAGACACAACATTTTAATTGTCTCCTTCTACATGTCAGGGTGGCAGCTGGGCAGAGGCTTCAGGAGCACACAAACCTTTGCAACAGCTTTGAAGAAACCCACGTGTATTTGATGAAGAAAGGCTGTGCTTCATCAGACACCTTTACTCTCCCCTAAACACTCCAGAGGCTGCTGCCAAGAGGCTCAGTCCTGCTCCTGCTGATTTTAAGGAAGCAAGGATTGGACAAATCCTGGAAGACTGACCTCAGCCAAGCTCCCGATCCTCTCAGAAGGGTTCTGCATAGCCCAAGGAGACATGGAAGACAGTCCTTTACAAAATCATTTGGAGGGCAAGTCACGGGGGCTGTGTGACAAGCTACAACACTGGTGGTCCTTTAGGTGACGTATTTCTTTAACTTACACTATGTAACATGACAAAATGCATCCTGGTGACACCTGTTTCCCTTTGCATACTGTCTAAGAGAATTTTCTGTACAGATAAAGACCAGTAAATATTTTGAATAAACCAGCAAACAGAAAAAATCGTGTTAAGTAGAATATGAAAAAAGGAAACTGGTTCCTTACTAGCCAGCAAGATTAGCAGTTGCAATTAGTTCAAGGATTAATTGTACCTGAAAGAAAACTGAACATGAATCTATGTGTCTTAAAATCCTATGTATGAAAAAAAAAATAATTCTGGAGAAGATGAAAGAGAGAGTGAAATGGACTTAAAACTCTGTGAGCTGACAGGTTACCTGTTGCCAACAGGAAACAACGGCTGCACATGGAAGGGCAACCCCACCATGTCCACAGTGCAAGCTGCAGGGGGTGCTCAGGGCCTGGCACACAGGAATGGCATCTCCCTCCCTCTGGGAACAGGATGTCTCTCTGAGAATGGCATCTCCATCCCTCTGGGAACAGGATGTCTCTCTGAGAATGGCATCTCCCTCCCTCTGGGAACGGGACCGCTCCTGCCCAAAGCAGGGCCCTGCAGCCTCCCCAAGCCACAGCTGCAACCCTTGGGAACAAACAATCAGCCTGAAGGGACATGGGATCGGTGCATTTTGGGTGTTTTTGACACTCATCTGCCTAACTGGCTGCTGGCAGGAGGGAGGAAGCTGTTTGTTCCCAGCACTCCGGAATCCAGTGATGCAGAACTCCACTGGCACAGTACAACAGGCTTCAGACAGAGCTGGATTTTCAGAAGGCAAAAAACAATTCATACATTGAATAAATAATTTCTTTCTCAGTAAGATCACTAATTTAAATACGACACAAACAAGGCATAGCAAAAATAGATGAAAAAAGCACTCTTTGTAAAAACATCCTATGTATGTGTGTGTGTGTGTTGGTGTCTTTTGTACATTCACTTGCAAGTGCAAGCTCCTGCCCATGTGCATCTCAGCACTCAGCAGTGAAGCACTTCCAGCCCCACCACACAACACTTTACCACAGCTTGAACACCACAGTTTTTTCCCCACATCACTCTTTTCTGTGTTTATATAATCAGTCTTCTTTGCCCACGCAGGCAGCACCTTCCCAAAGTTCACTGTTCTTTGTGTGAATACAATTTTGGAGCCAGAGATCAGGCTGTAGCTGCCTGAGGGGGTGCTGAGACCATTTTCCCTGCTCTGTTGTGGCCTGTTCTGTGGAGACTGCATTTTCCTGTGTAATTTAGGACTGAGAGCAGTGCTTGCCATGGGTAAATCCTGAGCAAGCTCTGCTTTATCTCTTTGGATGGCGTCTGCCAGTGCAGCGCTGCTGGCACATCCATGCGTTTATTTACTCCTGCCCTTCTCCTGCCTTGCTGCAGCGAACTGGAGCAGCCTGGTATGTCTGTTTCTGCTCCTGGCAGGTGGCTGTTCTCGGGGCAGGGAGCACAACGGGGCAGCCACAGGCTGTGGCCACCCCTGGCTGTCCCTGTGCGGTGACCAGGGCCCCGCGGCCTCGCTCCAAGGGAATCGCTGAGTGTACACTGTGGCATCTGCAGCAAACGTGCAGCACTACCCGGGCAAGGAAAAACTCAGCTGGGACCTTCTGCTGTCACACGAGGACCCTGACAAACCGCGCCTGGAAGGGCAGAAAGCTGGGGTGATCAGTGCAGGGCTCGTAGCACTGCAGCTTTCGGGTCCAGGACTCACAGTGACAGAGCAGGCGGGACCGAGGCCTCAGGGAACACCCAGCAGACTCACTGGTGTGAACAGCACTCCTGCTCCAGCCCTGCCAGCACCTGGAACCAGCACTGCCCACGGAGTGCTGCCGCCAGCTGAGTCCACTTCGGAGCTTTCGAGTCAGCAGGGTCATAAAACATCACACACAAGTCTTGTTGTGAGAACAAGGGAGAAAACAACCCGGCTTAAATAAAAGAGAAACTTGAAAAAATTGAAAAATTAAGTAAAGATCCTTTGGTAAACCATTTTGCAGTCCATTGCTTAAAATCTCCTAGTAAAATCTTTAAAAAAATTTTCATAAATTACTTCAGGTCCTACCTCTACCCAATAAAATTTAATCTGTGACAGCACGGCTTTGTTTTTAAAAGCTATTAAGTGATCAGTATTATTTTCAGGCTTCCCAAGGACAATTTGAACTAGCTCACATTTTTCCTGAGAACAGGTTTCATGGAGTGATGAAAACAAAGCTGCAAACTTTGCTGCAGATCCCACACATGTACATCTCGCTACTCCTCAAGGAAACAGCAGCCAATGCCACAAGGATGTCTGGACATGGGCATCTTTAAACATTAAACAAAACACAAGGCCCATCAGACTCTCTAAGTTGTCTTTAACTGCCCTTTTGTTTTTTCTAGGACAAGTGGTCTCCCTTGAAGTCACTGCTAATGCAGTGTGACAACACTAGGACAATTAGAAGACTGATTATTAAAGGCAAAAATAAGTAATTCTGGATATCAGCAGTGATGAGAGAGCTACAGTTTATCATCAAATGCAGGTAGCTAAAATACCATTAAAGGAATTCTTCGGTCTGGTGTTGGCTCTAAGCTAGAAATACAATGTTATTGTTTAAATTAATTTTGGAGGGCTCTCTCATCCCCGTGGCAGATGCCGTTTTCCGTACAGTTTACCAGGTACCTGGGAGAAATCAGGTGAAAAACAGGGCGTAAGGGGGAAAAAAACAAAAAAAAAAGGCAACAAAACAGGCGCAAATAAATTAGAGGAGTGAAAGCTCATGATTGGAGTTGGTCTGAGGAGGGAGGGAGGGGATCCCTGCAGAGTGGCGGCGCTGCCTGAGGCGCGGCGCGGGGCTGGTCAGTGCACCTTGGACTCGGGCCAGTCGTACACGTCCGGCATGAAGGACTCGTACTCGTAGCTCCACACCTTGGAGCGGATGTAGCGGTTCTTGTCGGCCGGCTCGGGGTAGTGGAAGGCCATGTTGTTGGCGTACAGGAACTCCATCACCTGCGGAGGGGAACAGCACGGCTCGGAGCCCGCGGCGCCGCACGCACCGCGCGGCACGGCCGGGAAACGCACACTGCGCAGGAACAGCCTCTGGAGCAGAGAGGGGGCGTCCTGCGCATGGAAAGGTGAGTGCAAGCAGAGACAAGAGGCACAAAGCTGCTGACAGGCAAAGGGTAAATGATGCTCACAGCTTCCGTCAATTAGATTAATAAAAAGATGCCTGCTTGCTTCGTGGGCAAAGCAGAGATACCAGTCTTAGATGCATGGACAAAGCAGAGTTACCAATGAAACCATGCAGGGACAAACAGAGCCACCCATCAAACCATGCATGGACAAACAGAGCTACCAACCAAGGGATGCATGGACAAACAGAGCTGCCCATCAAACAGTGCAGGGACAAACAGAGCTACCAACCAAGGGATGCATGGACAAACAGAGCTGCCCATCAAACAGTGCAGGGACAAACAGAGCTACCAATGAAACCATGCATGGACAAACAGAGCTACCCATCGAACAGTGCAGGGACAAACAGAGCTACCAACCGAACCATGCATGGACAAACAGAGCTGCCCATCAAACCATGCATGGACAAAGCAGAGTTACCAATGAAACAATGCATGGACAAACAGAGCTACCCATCAAACAGTGCAGGGACAAACAGAGCTACCAATGAAACCATGCATGGACAAACAGAGCTACCCATCGAACAGTGCAGGGACAAACAGAGCTACCAACCAAGGGATGCATGGACAAACAGAGCTACCCATCAAACAATTCTCATCTTGTGTAGGCCAAGACGAGAAGTAAATATAAACAATGTTCAGAAGCACAATAAACTGCTTTTGCTTAATTCACAGTGAATCATGCAGAGTCCTTTGTCGTCTCTCCTCAGCACCTCAGTGTCTGTACATCCCCACACGCCTTAGCTGGGATCTCTAAATTGAATTTCAGGGATCAGAGGGGAGCAATTTTGGCCCATCATGCTGCCAAGCTGAAGCATCCAACAAAGGGAACGTTTTTATACATTTCTCTTATTGCAGGCACAAAGAACCGGGTGTTGCCCAAGCACCCCATATTCAAGGGTCACACTCTGTGCAACTCAGCAGGTTAATGTACACATAAACCACTTTTACTGCAATGCAATTTTATATTTCATACTCACCTTGACAGCAATATAAATAGAAACTTCCCTGATATTGGACAGTGGAGGATAAAGTCTTCCTTGTGCAAGCTCTTCATCTGTCAACTGCTCTGCCAATGCCTGAGTCAGAGAAACAAACACTTTTTATTTACTAATGTGAGTTTATTTACCAAATGTGACCAATAACGTGCCAGAACACCTGAGAGCATCAAGCTGCAGTGCTCCTAGCACCAGAGTGCTCCCAAAGCACTGCAGTGAGGCACTCAGGGTCTGAGGAACTGAGAATCAGCACACTCACTGCAAGCATTTAGCAAAACGAGCTCTGGTATTTTGGGGCTGAATCCCAGAGCCACAGAAAGGCCTGGCCACAGAGCCAGCTGCAGAACCCAGGGCAGGGCAGGGGACAGCCCTGCTGCCACAGTAACTCACACAGGACTTTCTACCTCATCACAACCGCAATGGAATCTGATTCTTGGCAAAAAACAACTTTGTTTGGTCAAAACACTTTTTTTTTTTCCCATTGTGGAGGGACAAGCCAACAGAAACCAAACAGGAAACCACAGTGCTTCACCAGGGTTTGAGAGGAGTGCCCACCAAGCCATCCCTGTCTGTCAGAAGCCACAGCCTGCTCTGCTCCCAGACTCACCTTGGCAGCCTCCAGGAAAACCTTATCACTGATGTGCCTGACGCTGCTGAGGATCACAGCCAGAGCCACGCCTGCAAGAAATCACTGCCGCTTAGGGACACTTCACTGTAAATGTGCACTTTAAACTGCAGCCTGCTGCAAGGAGCTGCTGCCAGCCATCTTTCTGCCCACACTGGCAGAGCCATGGGGTGGCTCGGGTTGAAGATCACTGTGTCCCACCCCCTGCCTCGGCAGGGACACCCACACACTCACTGCTACCACCCATGGGTGCAGCCACGGCCACAGCAGGTGGCTTCTGGAAGGGTTGGAGCTTTGCAGCTCAGGGACGGAAGGGCAAGGCACAGGAACATCCTCAGTGCTTCTTTTCTACACCACTTGTGCAGATACAACTTCAAGAACTATTAACTCTGAGAGTTATTAACATAACTGCAAGTGCGTATTAACATTTATTTTCTCCCTTCCTCCCCAAACAAGCAGCAGCTCCCAAAGCCTTTAACAGCACCCTTCTGTTTTCTCAGCCACATCCAGCTGGGTTTGCTCCTTGTGGCTGCATGTGCCCCACATCCAGCCCGGACTGATTGTCTGTCATCCAGCCACTCATTCGTCCAAGCTCTCAAGCGCTGGCACCACCTCTGCACGCTGCTTCACTGATGTGCCTCTGCAGCAAGGGAGCCCAAGGGTGGCAGCACCATTCATTACCTGGGAAGATGTAAGCGTTGTTTCCTTGGCCTGGTTTGAAGGTCCTCCCATCCCTCAGAGTGACCAGCTCGAAGGGGCTGCCGCTGGCAAACAGGCACCGGCCCTGGCAGGAGGAAGGGAGGGAGGGAGGGTCAGTGAGCAGCTGGGCAGGGACAGAGCCTGGAGCAGCTGGGCACAGACAGAGCCTGGAGCCAGCGGGAGCTGGGCACAGACAGAGCCTGGAGCCAGCGGGAGCTGGGCACGGACAGAGCCTGGAGCAGCTGGGCACAGACAGAGCCTGGAGCAGCTGGGCAGGGACAGAGCCTGGAGCCAGCGGGAGCTGGGCAGGGACAGAGCCTGGAGCCAGCGGGAGCTGGGCACAGACAGAGCCTGGAGCCAGCGGGAGCTGGGCAGGGACAGAGCCTGGAGCAGCTGGGCAGGGACAGAGCCTGGAGCCAGCGGGAGCTGGGCACAGACAGAGCCTGGAGCCAGCGGGAGCGGGGCAGGGACAGAGCCTGGAGCAGCTGGGCAGGGACAGAGCCTGGAGCCAGCGGGAGCTGGGCACAGACAGAGCCTGGAGCAGCTGGGCACAGACAGAGCCTGGAGCCAGCGGGAGCTGGGCACAGACAGAGCCTGGAGCAGCTGGGCAGGGACAGAGCCTGGAGCCAGCGGGAGCGGGGCAGGGACAGAGCCTGGAGCAGCTGGGCACAGACAGAGCCTGGAGCCAGCGGGAGCTGGGCACAGACAGAGCCTGGAGCAGCTGGGCACAGACAGAGCCTGGAGCCAGCGGGAGCTGGGCACAGACAGAGCCTGGAGCAGCTGGGCAGGGACAGAGCCTGGAGCCAGCGGGAGCGGGGCAGGGACAGAGCCTGGAGCAGCTGGGCAGGGACAGAGCCTGGAGCCAGCGGGAGCTGGGCACAGACAGAGCCTGGAGCAGCTGGGCAGGGACAGAGCCTGGAGCAGCTGGGCAGGGACAGAGCCTGGAGCCAGCGGGAGCGGGGCAGGGACAGAGCCTGGAGCAGCTGGGCACAGACAGAGCCTGGAGCCAGCGGGAGCGGGGCAGGGACAGAGCCTGGAGCAGCTGGGCACAGACAGAGCCTGGAGCCAGCGGGAGCGGGGCAGGGACAGAGCCTGGAGCAGCTGGGCACAGACAGAGCCTGGAGCCAGCGGGAGCGGGGCAGGGACAGAGCCTGGAGCCAGCGGGAGCTGGGCACAGACAGAGCCTGGAGCCAGCGGGAGCTGGGGGCCAGCAGGGGACATGGGGCACTGATCACCCTGCTCTGAGTACAGGGACAAAGCCTGGAGCAGCCACTGAGAGCCAGGTGCCACATGGAAATGGGGCCCTGATCACCCTGCAGTGAGCACCACACGGGGCACATCCCACCTGCTTGGAGGGACTGACACAGGAAGCCCTGCTGTGTTAACCCTTACCAGCACCCTGTGCAGGATGCAGCCCTGCTGTGTTAACCCTTTCCAGCACCACTGCAGCCCTGCGGTGTTAACCCTTTCCAGCACCACTGCAGCCCTGCTGTGTTAACCCTTTCCAGCACCACTGCAGCCCTGCGGTGTTAACCCTTTCCAGCACCACTGCAGCCCTGCGGTGTTAACCCTTTCCAGCACCACTGCAGCCCTGCGTTGTTAACCCTTTCCAGCCCCACAGGGACCCTGCAGACTCGTGAGCAATGGCCACTGTTAGAGCAGGCTGGAGCACAATAAAAGGTCACTTTCTCACTGGAGGGTGTGGGGCTAGAGGGAGGAACTGCTGTGTCAGACTGCTGCTGCTGCTGCTGCTGAGAGCAATCAGAGCAGTGAATAATGTGGTTTGCTTATCCTTCCTTTGGAAACGATATCATGTGCACAAAATAGCAACACGTATCTGAGTTTTGCTACCACACCCTCTAGACAAATGAGCCTCTTCTCAAGCAGTAAACCACTGAAAGAAAAAAAATCTTGATTTTCTGTTGAGTAACAGGTTTAGGAACATGAGTTTAAAACCTTTAAGGCTCTCAGGACTACTGTGTTTGAAAACAAATTACCAAAGAGGCTGGAGGCTCTGGAACTGTGTTTGGCTGCCAGGGCATACCCACGACAAGAGCCTTTTTGTGCAGGGAGCAAAGCAGACGGGTGCAGGAGGGGACAGGACCAAAAGACAAAGCAATTCAAAGGCAGCACAAGCCCTCCGAACACACAGGGGCATCCACAGCCTTTTACAGGTGCCATCTAGTGGGAAAAAATGAGGAACGAAAGGTTAGGGTGGCGTCTTTGTCTCTTTGTTGCCTCTGGTGCAGCCTGAGACCCAGCCAGGCAGGATGAGGCTGTCCCCGCGGCCTGGGGACACCCGGGGTGACAGCCCGACAGACTGCACTGGCTGCGTGACACTGCCAGCGGAGCTGCAGGTTCCCACAGAGCCACACAGCAGGCAGGGCTCTGGAGCCCATTCCCCAGGTAATTACTGCATCCTGGGGGGAAAACACATTCTGAGGGGCAAGCTGAGGACATCTCAGAGAACCAAAGAGCACCGTGGAAACAGACAGCTGGGGTGGCTGCAGGAAAGTTCGGAGACATAAACATTGCAGAAGTTATGGGTAAGGACTGGAACAAAGCTACACCAGCTCACTCACTGACCAGCAGTGCTCAACTGTCCAAATAACCCACATGTACAAGTAACTGGGAGCACGGAAAATCATTAATAAAAGAGCATATGGATCCAATACAGGGCTCAATCTTTGCAAACGGCTTTGTGCTCTTCCAGCTCCTGACCCAGGGAGCCTGTGCCCCTGACAGGGACAGCCAGGGTGAGGGCCAGCTCCTTGGGCTCAGCACTCAGCATGGCACACTCTGCCTCCTGCCCTAAAACATCTCTTCATCTGCTGGTGTTCCATCATAATGCAAGCAAAAACCAGGCTGGTTCCCCCTCTAACTGTGCTCCTGGCCTCCTGCAGCTAGAGACGGCAGCAGTTTTTACATTTATTTATGCCAACTGAAGCCTTGCCTGCACAACTAGCTCCTGTTTACCTTCTATCCAAGATACTGGAATCTATAAACTGAAACACTGCCCAGCTCACCGCTCTGGTTAATGTAAGATATCTGAGAGATATTAAACCACCTTAATTTACAAGTGTGTCCATGGCAGGGAACGGAGCTGGGCAGGGGCTGAGCCTGGAGCAAAGGAGGCTCAGGGGGGCCCTTGTGGCTCTGCACAGCTCCTGACAGGAGGGGACAGCCGGGGGGGTCGGGCTGTGCTCCAGGGAACAGGGACAGGAGCAGGGGGACAGCCAGGGCAGGCTCAGGGTGGGCAGCAGGGGAAATTTCTTTACCTAAAGCTCTGTCCATCCCTGGCCCAGCTGCCCAGGGCAGTGGTGGAGTCCCCATCCCGGTAGGGGTTTAAAAGCCATGTGCATGTGGCACTTGGGGACATGGGACAGTGGTGGCCTTGGCCGAGCTGGGGACTGGTTGGACTCGATGGCCTTGGAGGGCTTTTCCAGCCCAGATGACCCTACTGATAAGAGATAAGATCCAGACTTTGCTCAGAGGCTGCTACTGCAGGGCTCCTGGAGCAGCAATTCCCTGCGCTGACAGCCCCAGGAGTGTGGGGCACAGTCCGGGTGTCAGATGGGGACAGCAGAGGGCCACCCTGGCAGGGTGACACTGCCGCTGCTGGGGCTGTCTGAGATGCTGAGCCCCGTGGGCAGCGCAAGGCAGGAGCTCAGTCTGCAGCAGCAGACAAGGAAAGCTCTCCACCCACCCATTTTCACACACCACTCACTCGGTTTGGGGCTGTATCAAAGTAAGAGAAAGAGGAAAGAATGAGAGCCCTCAGGAGCTGCAGGACAGCACCAGCACAGAGATCTCAGCAGCCAGCACAGGGATCCCAGACCTGCAGGACAGCACCAACACCAGCACAGGGATCCCAGCAGCTGCTCAGAGCCCCACCTCCCTCCCCGTGGGCTCCCTGCAGAGGCCCCAGCCTGGCACAAAAACCTACACAGAGCTACAAAATGCTGGCTTCATAAGGTTGGGATGTGCCGTTGGGATAACGGTAGAGCTACTAAGGAAAAGCCCCCCCAAACCCCTGAGTGCCAGCCCTGCAGGGTGCAGTGGCCCAGGGGAGGGTGCAGAAGCAGGAGTGTTTGCTCCTGGCTGACTCATTCCAGCACCTGGTGGTTCCAGACACAGCCGCTGTGGCAGGGACATGGGCCACCCCTGCCCGGGGACATGAGGGACAGGGGCCACCCCTGCCCAGGGACACGAGGGACAGGGGCCACCCCTGCCCAGGGACACGAGGGACAGGGGCCACCCGGCCCAGGGACACGAGGGACAGGGGCCACCCGGCCCAGGGACACGAGGGACAGGGGCCACCCCTGCCCGGGGACATGAGGGACAGGGGCCACCCCTGCCCAGGGACACGAGGGGACAGGGGCCACCCCTGCCCAGGGACACGAGGGACAGGGGCCACCCGGCCCAGGGACACGAGGGGACAGGGGCCACCCCTGCCCAGGGACACGAGGGACAGGGGCCACCCGGCCCAGGGACACGAGGGGACAGGGGCCACCCGGCCCAGGGACACGAGGGGACAGGGGCCACCCTGCCCAGGGAGCACAGGGCCCCAGGGGTCACTGCTGGTGGCACCTGCAGGGCTGGTAAAAGCCCCACTCCTGCCCTGCTCCAAGGACTCTCTCAGCCATTACATGGCAAAGCTTGCACTGAGTCCCTACTGCGAGGCTAACAGGCTTCATTAAAACACAAACTAATTAAAAAGAGCCGTGAGAAACAAGAGTTAATTGATCACAGCCATGTAACAGTACCGATGGTCATTCTCTAAAAAAAGCAGTAACAAGACTCAGGCTACTTTAAGTTTTGCAAAAGCTAAAAATTACCTAAAAGTTACGTACTGATCCAGACCTCTTTTCCCACCAGCGCCATTGACTGTTGGCAGAAGGGGAGGAAGAGCTGTGTTCTCACAGCCCTGAGCCCAAGCAGTGAGAGAACAATCCGAGCCCTGGTGCTCAGGCAGTCCCAGCAGGGCAGGGCAGCCCCAGCAGGGCAATCCCCAGCAGGGCAGCCCCAGCAGGGCAATCCCCCCCAGCAGGGCAGCCCCAGCAGGGCAATCCCCAGCAGGGCAATCCCCAGCAGGGCAGGGCAGCCCCAGCAGGGCAATCCCCAGCAGGGCAATCCCCAGCAGGGCAATCCCCAGCAGGGCAGGGCAGCCCCAGCAGGGCAATCCCCAGCAGGGCAATCCCCAGCAGGGCAATCCCCAGCAGGGCAGCCCCAGCAGGGCAATCCCCAGCAGGGCAATCCCCAGCAGGGCAATCCCCAGCAGGGCAATCCCCAGCAGGGCAGGGCAGCCCCAGCAGGGCAATCCCCAGCAGGGCAATCCCCAGCAGGGCAATCCCCAGCAGGGCAGCCCCAGCAGGGCAATCCCCAGCAGGGCAATCCCCAGCAGGGCAGCCCCAGCAGGGCAATCCCCAGCAGGGCAGCCCCAGCAGGGCAATCCCCAGCAGGGCAGCCCCAGCAGGGCAATCCCCAGCAGGGCAGCCCCAGCAGGGCAGCCCCAGCAGGGCAATCCCCAGCAGGGCAATCCCCAGCAGGGCAATCCCCCCCAGCAGGGCAGCCCCAGCAGGGCAATCCCCAGCAGGGCAATCCCCAGCAGGGCAATCCCCCCCAGCAGGGCAATCCCCAGCAGGGCAATCCCCCCCAGCAGGGCAGCCCCAGCAGGGCAATCCCCAGCAGGGCAATCCCCCCCAGCAGGGCAATCCCCAGCAGGGCAGCCCCAGCAGGGCAGCCCCAGCAGGGCAATCCCCAGCAGGGCAGCCCCAGCAGGGCAATCCCCAGCAGGGCAATCCCCAGCAGGGCAGCCCCAGCAGGGCAATCCCCAGCAGGGCAATCCCCAGCAGGGCAGCCCCAGCAGGGCAATCCCCAGCAGGGCAGCCCCAGCAGGGCAATCCCCCCCAGCAGGGCAATCCCCCCCAGCAGGGCAATCCCCAGCAGGGCAGCCCCAGCAGGGCAGCCCCAGCAGGGCAATCCCCAGCAGGGCAGCCCCAGCAGGGCAATCGCCAGCAGGGCAATCCCCAGCAGGGCAGCCCCAGCAGGGCAGGGCAGCCCCAGCAGGGCAATCCCCAGCAGGGCAGCCCCAGCAGGGCAATCCCCCCCAGCAGGGCAATCCCCAGCAGGGCAAGCCCCAGCAGGGCAGCCCCAGCAGGGCAATCCCCAGCAGGGCAATCCCCAGCAGGGCAATCCCCAGCAGGGCAGCCCCAGCAGGGCAATCCCCAGCAGGGCAAGCCCCAGCAGGGCAGCCCCAGCAGGGCAATCCCCAGCAGGGCAATCCCCCCCAGCAGGGCAATCCCCAGCAGGGCAATCCCCCCCAGCAGGGCAATCCCCAGCAGGGCAATCCCCAGCAGGGCAATCCCCAGCAGGGCAAGCCCCAGCAGGGCAGCCCCAGCAGGGCAATCCCCAGCAGGGCAGCCCCAGCAGGGCAGCCCCAGCAGGGCAGCCCCAGCAGGGCAATCCCCAGCAGGGCAGCCCCAGCAGGGCAATCCCCAGCAGGGCAATCCCCCCCAGCAGGGCAATCCCCAGCAGGGCAATCCCCCCCAGCAGGGCAGCCCCAGCCCCGGCTCACCCACCTCTGTCAGCGTGTAGGCCTCCTCTGCCGTGCACTCGGCCTTGGCCGTGGGGTTGCTCAGGGCAAATATGATGGGCCGCTCGTTGATGGAAGCCATGGCTCTGATCACGTCCGGGGTGAAGAGACGCCCTGCCCCAGCCACCCCTGGGGAAAGGGGAACACACAAAGCCACAATCAAGGCAGGGACAGCCAGCCCACGCCGAGCTCAGGGCAGCCCTCAGCCTGCCCCAGGCACAGCTCCTCCGGCAGTGGAGATGGAGCCAGGCACGGCTCCTGCCTGGCTGGCACCCACAACTTCCACAGCAACATCTCCTCAGTGTGCTCCAGAAGCCTACTCCACACTGTTTTTTGGTATTGATGAGCACAAGGAACACGGTCCTGGATAAGCAAGAGGGAATTCCAGGTGCTCTGTGGATGATTCATCCCTGCTGGGTGTTAGCTGTGCAATGCACACCTGGCACCGGTGCCCCTGACCACACCCAAACCCAGAGGTACAAACACACAGCTATGATCTATTTGTCTTTTCCAAATAAATCATGTGCCAGGGAAGCTGCAGTCACAGCAGGAAATACCTGCAATCCTCTCTGCTCTCTGCAGATAGCCACGGCTGTAAATACCCACAGATGCCAGTGACCCCAGAGGTGCTGGTGGTCTGCAGCATGGAACTGCTGTTTCCAGCTGTGCTGCTGGCACAGCCTGACCACAGGGGGGACTGCAGAGGGTCAGAAAACACCCACACAACTCCAATTAGGGAACTCCCCAACGTAGGAAACATGATGGTTGTGGCTGCTCTCTGTCACTAAGGACACAAGGCTAAGAAGGAGCACCACAGCCCAGTGTATGTTCAAGCAGAAAACTGACCTCACATTTCCATGTTTTTTACATCAGCTGTCACCAAGCCGCCCAGAACTCCGATAACAAATTAAAGGCAGTAAAAAGCCAGATTACAGAAAACTAAGCTCACTCACCGATGATAGCTGAAGGCCGAAGTACATTCACTGCCTCTACAAATGTCTTTGGTATGTCTATGTCCTTTGGAGCCTTGTGGGCAAAGGGCTCCTGGTGGGGATCCGCCTGCTGCTCCCGGCCCTGCAGGAGAGCAGAGGTTCCCCCGTGAGGGGAGGGCAGGGCAGGGCTCACCCGCGCTGGGCATCCCAGGTGTGCTGCAGCCCTACCTGGACCAGCAGGCCATGCTTGTCAAACATCCACACTCTCCTGGAGGCCTCCTCGTGGGAAACACCCCTTTCCATCATGGCCATCACAATGAGGTTGGCGATTCCCAGGGCGGCCTGGCGGCGAAAGGACTCGGGTTGGTGACAGGGCACAGGAGAGGTCAGCCATCAGAGCCCACAGAGCCCCTCGGGGAGCCTGCTCTGAGACACAGCAAGCGTCTCCCAGTGTGGGGCAGCCCCCCGGCACCCCTGCAGGCAGGACAGCAGGGACGGCTCTCCCAGGGTGTGAGCTGTGCCAGCCCAGCCTGGCAGGGACAGGGTGCCCAGCCCTCCTGCCACCCAACCAACCCGTGCCGCGTGCCCCGTGCTCCCAGCCTGGCTCCTGCCCCTGGCAGGGCTGGCAGAGGGCAGCAGGAGGCCGGGCTGGCCCCTGTCCCCTCCCTGGCAGGAGAAATGAGGCACAGCAGGCCAATTACTGCCACCAGCGCCTTTCCCAGACGGAGAACTTCTCAGATAATTAAGTCATTTTGTCAGCACCACAGGAGCAATTGCGCTGATGCACCGAGAAGCACAGGGCTGCTCCTGGCACTGCAGCACCAGTAACTGGTGCCTGCTGCAAACGGAATCAATCACCTTGCTGAGAAGAACTCCCTGTACTTCCCTCTGGTGCTATAAAAATCAACAAGACGGTCTCACCACACCATGATTTTATGGTGAGCTTCCCTTCAAATACACACAATCCCTGGTGCTTTCTTCAAGGCCGTGCAGGGAAATGAAGAATATGAGTCCCTGCAAATGTTAAACACCTTTCATGCAGCCCTGTTTAGGCAGAGTCCTTTCTGCTAATGCATTTCAGCTGGCCTTACATGAAAAGCTCTGCAATGGAGTTCAGAGAAGGCAAAACTCCATGATGAGAAAATACACATTTTAAATGTCTCTTGCTGCTCTGGGCCCTTAGGAGGACTCACCTCTCCCGCTCCAAGGAACAGCACTTTCTGGTCTGTGAGTGGTTTCCCTGTGGCTCTCTGGGCTGCCAGCAGTCCTGCCAAGGCCACTGAGGCTGTCCCTGTGAGAGCAGAGCAAATCTGAGGGCAGCTGAACACGCCTCCATGGCAGGCTGTGGCTCTGGGAAGAGTTCCTGCAGGGATGCTCAGGAACACAAACAAAGGGTGTACCTTGGATGTCGTCGTTGAAGGTGCAGTACTTCTCCCTGTACTTCCTCAGGAACCGGAAAGCATTGTGGTTTCCAAAGTCCTCAAACTGGATGAGCGTGTTCTGGCCGTACCTACAGGGGATGGCAAACACCCCAGCACTGCACAGAGGCAGGGGAGAGCAGCAGGGCCTGCACGCCATCCCTCATCTGTGCAGCAGGCTGTCCTCAGGAGAGCCCAGCAGCGCTGTCCCTGCTCTGTGCCTCGCACGGATAACCCAGGCAGCGTGCTCCGGGTCACCGGGGAGGGACAGACAGACAGACAGCAGGGACGGACACACAGCCTGCCCCGGCCTCTGGGTGGGTGATGAAGGACAGCTGTGAGGGCTGCTCCGTGCCCTACCTGTCCGTGATGGCCTCCATGAACTCGTCGATCAGGTCATCGTAGACCTGCGAGCGGTCCCTCTTCTGGTAGAGCCCCATGTAGAAGGGATCCTTCAGCAGGGTCTGCAGGAGCAAGCCAGGGAGAGAGCAGGTGAATCCCCTCCCCAGGCACACCCAGCACAGCTCCCACCCGGGATGCTGCAGGCACACAGCACCACAGCAGCGCCCTGTGATTTCAGCCGGCGCTTGGCGCTGGGGATGGCTGCATCAATACTGGGAACAATAAGCTGCTTCAATAAATCTAATTCCCATTCCCAGCTTCTTAAAAGTCAGGTCAAAACTGACTGCCTATTTTGCAGCAGTGTTCCAGCACTCCAATTACTTCCAGATGCACCCTTTCATGGACAAATCAATGGGCACTTTTAAATCACTGTACAACGAACTCCAAACCTTTTACCCTTTGCATAAAATATTTGGGTTTATCTTAAATAACAGTGCTCAAAAAAAAAGGAAAACCCTAGAATCCTAGAACTCCCTTTTCTAGGAACTGCTCCACTGCACCCTTTTCTCCAGGCAGGGTTGGGCTGTGTTTGCCCCAATCCTGGGGTTCTCCTCCCTTTTTGGGGGCATTCCTTTTGAGCACATTCCTCAGTTATCGTATGGAACGTTTTTTTAAAAATACCCCATTTTTACAGAGGTAACTCACTGTGTTATCAGTCCCAACGTCGATGCACACAGGCAGGCATTTATCTGGGTGTATCCCTGCACAGGCTGTGTACAAACACAGCTTTCCCACTGGAATCCCCATCCCGTACACCCCCAGGTCGCCAAGACCCAATATTCTTTCTCCATCAGTGACCACAACAGCCTGATGGAAAAAAAAAAAGCAAAAAAAAAAAAGGCAGGTCAAATAATACACGAACACTGAAATTTATGAAGATTAGATCAATAGCAGCTGTGTTTTTTCCCCAGGTGAAAATTGAGGTAAGTTTGCACAGTCAAACAAAGAACAGATCACGAGGAATATTTTCCTCAACCCATAAACCTCACATTTAGGGTGAAACATTGATCTTCAAGATGTGCATTACCTTAATGAGCTGCATTCTGCCAGCATCACTAAAGAGCCAGAATGCATTACCTAATATTTATGTTTCCATCAGATACTAGTAAATCTCAAAAGACTCAGCTGAGATGGAATAACAATTAGAAACTAAATCACACCATGACTGTACCTTCACGTCGTTCTCTGGCCAGTTGTTCACGATTGACCTTATGTGGCCTCTGTCTGAGATGGAAATAAATAATCCCCTGAAAGAAAAAAACCCCACAAATCAGAAATATTTTGTGGGTGACAATTAGAAATACGACCTTGCTTTTGTAAAACTAAATACCAAACAGGACAATTTAAAATTCAAAGCCTTACAGCTGCTGAAATAAATTGCTCTAAGGACAATATCTGTTCCTGTCCCAGGGCAGGGACCTGAGGAACCCACCTGAACCAGCCCTCTGCAGCAGAGCTGAGGGTGATGTCCATAAAGCCCTTTCAATCGACACTCCCTTCCAGAGGCCCTGTCCTGACACAGATCCTCAGAGCCACAGAAGGGACCCTGATAGCTGAGGAGATAACCCCTGGAATTACAGAGCTGTGTGGCACTTGCAAGAGCTGGAAATGGTGCTGAAGCCCTGCACTTGGAGTATTTATGTGACCCATCTCCACGTCTGCTTCCAAACATTTTGCTTCTCAATATACACTGTGTCCTGAGATAGATTTTACCAAACTTTTACTGCCCTGACGTGGCACTAGCTGCACCAGGATGAAAATGACACAAACCACTTCCAAACCTGGGGTGAGAACACAGAGGAAAGGACAACAGCAGTGTGTGTGGCCTTACTTTGGTCTCCTGAAGATGTGTCCGTACTGGGAGCAGGCCAGCCCCACGGTGGGCGTGTACACAATGGGCATCAGCCGCTCAATGTCGTCCTGCAGCACCCTGTAGAAGAGCTTCTCGTTCCTCTCCTGGATGCCCATGATGTAGATGTACCTGCAATTAGCCAGCACAAGGAGAAACACCCCTGGCTGTGTCCCACTGCTGCGTTCCCTCGGGAAAGGCCCTGTCCCTGAGTCAGGCGGGGAGCACGAAGGGGAAGCTGGGAGGAGAGCAGCAGCGAGATGGAGATGCTGGAGGGACACCCTGTGTGTGTGCTGGCGAGGGAACACTGACAAATGTCACTAAAGACAGACCAGGGATTTACTGGATTTACTGCACGGAGTCTCAGCACCCTTGTACACAAAATTACAGTGAAACAATTTTCCATCCAGAAGATGTGAATCCCAGCACCAACACACACGTGCAGCACACTGAGCCATACCACAAGGCTCACTCTGAAGGACTTACGTGGGGGTGTCAATTAAATCTGAATTTCTGCAAGTTTACCCACCAATCTGCTGTGTATCAACCCATACCCTGTCCTGCTGACCCAACAACATGAAGATAATGAATTTGCAATCTGCCTCAGGCCACAGCAGCTGGGCACTTGGCCAATACACATGACAGGACTGCTTTGGACCAGCAAGTGACATGCTGTGGATTTAAGAGCCATCTCTCAGTTCTGATGAGAACAAAAGGGCTTTGATGTGGTCCAGCGAGCCCCAAGCCATCCCAGCTCTCCTCCTGCCAGCAGGAGACTGTATTTTCACAGGCAGAGATACACAAACATTATGTGAAAACAGTAACGGGATGCTAAAAACGTGGCATCCGAAAAATAAAACACAGCTAAATCCTTTGCAGTTCACCAAACCAGTGTGTTAAGTAATGAAATATATTAAAAAATACACATTATGAGACTTAACATTCTACTCTGGTAGTTCCCTTTTAGCAGTAACTACTGTGTATGTTAAACACTGTTTTTGGTATCTCAAACGCTCAGTTTACCCTCATTATCACACGTTTTTACAGACTGGGCAGGATGCCACCTGCTGTGCTCTAACCACCTGCCACTCCATCTCACACATCACAGAAATACATGTGACAGGCTGCAGGCAGGTTTGCAGCTTTGTTACTGATTTCCACACGCTCTCTTTTGCTGCTTTATGAGCATGGAATATTTAAAAAAAAAAAAAAAGGAAAAATAAAAAAAGCTTCCCAACCTCATTTGGCCGCGGGATGAAAGCAAACGAAAGCAACACCTGCGCCCAAGCGAAAGCAGCACCCAAGAACTGAAACCCCAGCGGAGGCACTGGAAAGTCTGGTGACCCCCAGACAGCATTTTCCCATTTCCATCTCATTTCCAGCCCCGATGCTCCCGCTCGCTCGCGCCACGGGACACAGCGCTTACTTCTCCAGGGGGTCAGTCATTTTAGCCAAGTTCTTGTGGAAGCGCAAGGCCTGGATGTCCTGTGTCTCTATCTTGGGAGGCAGGAGCCCCTGCAGGCCCAGCATCTGCCGCTCGTGCAGGGTGAAGGCCATGCCCTGAAACGAGAGGGGAGCACAGCCATCACTCCCTGCCCCCGGAGCCCTGACACCGCAGCCTGAGCTGTTTGCCCCTCCTGGCGCTCTCCCCACCTTTGGGGCCGTTCCTTTCCACCCACGCTGCCCGGACCTTGCCACATCTGACTGTCCTCTGTGGAGCTGGAGAGCAGCAGAGCTGCTGCTGCAAAGGGGTTAAAACTGAAATAACAGCTGCTTTTGCAATCCTTCCACTGTCACCCAGGCTGGTCCCTACAGTCACACACAGTACCTGTAGCTCAGATTTTTATCTCAATTGCTCCATTTGCTGCTTTTTTCAGTAACACAGCCTGATGCCCAAGTCACTGAATTGCCCTAATGCTCCTATTAAGATCACAGTCCAACCCAAACACTTCATTTTCACTGAGGGATGGATCTAATCCATTTATCTGCCACCAAAAGCCTCATTGGTAGCAAATTAGAAGAGTTCACCTGCAAAAACCTCCCCCTCTTCTCCATTTGGGAGATGGAGTGTGGACAGAGTTTAAATTTATTGTTCTTTAAATACTAATTTGAACCGTTTCTCAACCTTCGGATTCTAACTGCCAAGCTAAAAAAAAAAAAAAAAGCTTTCTAAGGTTTATGCCTTGTAATTACACTCCAAATTCCTCCTGCCCTCAGAAAGGTCAGAGAATCAGATGATCCTTGTGGAGGGCACCCACCCACAAAGATCATCCGTGTTCAGCTCCTCAACTGACAAGAAATAAAAATCTGTACTTTTCCATTGACAGTAAAGGGTCAATTCAGATTAGAATACAAATATTTTCACCTCTGCTTATATGAGAACAGACTCTTCACAGGTGTCTGTAGAACCCATACCCATTAAAAAAAAATTCTAAAAATAGTCCAGTTGTAGTGTAATTCATCATAGCCAAATAGTTTCTAAACAAAATTCCTTAGAGAAAAAAACCCCATTGTTAAAATAATTACTGTTTTTACATTATTTTTCTCTTTCCTGTTTAGGTTAGATTTAATATTGGTTGTTTTGACTACATTGACTAAAGCAGTTCACCTGCTCTTCTGTACTGATTCTACACTGTGCTCTACAACAATAAAATACCTGAAGAGCTAGAAAGCAAGAAAAAACAACAACCCAGACCCAAAAACTTCACTGTTTTGCCCTCTTGCAGAAAGGTCCAAGTATTTAACCCTAAAATGAATCTGTTTTCTCTGTATTTATTTTCATGTCCGCCAACCTTTCACACAATAGATTTGACACTAAATACTGATTTCAATTTAACCCTTCACTACTAGGACAGTAGAGCTTTTCCACAAGTAGTCAGGAGTAATTTGCAAACCACTGTTTTCTTTCCCAGTCTAACTGCTATTCTTCAGTATTCTTCCAATACTAAATACAAATACATTTCAGATGACAGTTCATTCTTCAAGTTTTTAACATTGCTGCTGGTTTTTTGATTTCTAATTTTTCTTTTTTTTGGGGGGGGGGTGTAAGAGTCCCACTTTAGCCACTTCAGTGGTATTTTTTTCCAAACATTGATCTGAACAATCCAACAGTTCCACAAAGAACACAGCCATGTAAACAGAGAGAAACTGACACGAGAGAAGAACCCACAGAATCAGGCTCTGGGTGCCACAGAGGCTTTTTCCTGTGTTGCAAAGGATTAGTTCCACTTCCGCATCCTTCACAAGAAATACGAATTCTCTGCGAGCAGAAATGCAAGCTCCACACAAACTCCTCTCAGCTATCTTCCCTTTTCCTCGACAGCCCTGGCTCGCTGCCATCAGCAGTTTAATGCCTTCAAAAGCAGTTAAACGCCCCCAAAAGCAGCCCTTTCCCACACAAACTGCTGGCAGTGCCAGCGGCTCGGGCCCCAAGGCCGAGCAGGGCTGGCAAACATTTGTAGGATGCTGACTTTTACTCTAGACAACACAGAAACACAAACGGCGCCAAAATATTGACAGTGCTCAGAGGAAGAGGAAGGGAGGAAGAAGTTCAGTGTCTGGCCAGCAGGGCCACGGGGGTTTGCAGCCTGGGGAAGGCCAGGCTCCCCTCAGCGGAGCCACCCCGGCTGCACACTGTGACCCCAGAGAAACACCTCACTGCCAAACCTACATCCTCCCCTGCACAAAGCCTCAAGTCCTGAAAAAACACAACTACCGAAGTTACAATCTCTGCTATTACCATGACACCAGAATGTGGCTTTTCCCACTTCCCTGCAGAGGGGAACCCGTGTCCTTACAACACCTGGGCCCCCAATAACGCCCGGGAGCCCTGAGCTTAGCTCCAAGCAGAGCAGAGACCCATCTTTATTCAGTTTATTCTCACTCTTTCCTGTCTGCAGGGAATCTAGCTGTGCAATGTCTCTGGAGTTACAATAACATCAAACAGGATGAATTTTTAAGTGACACTAAGTACTTTCAGCTGTTGATTTACATGACAATTACATCTTACCATGCTGAAAGAGGCTTTAATTTCTGCCTAGGCCTAAATCAGGAATCAGAATGACATCAGCCTTCACACAGAAATTCAGCCCTTGCACCAACTGCATAACAACAAGTTTAGTCCAGAGCAGCGAGATAAAACCCCTGAGTCCTTCTAACACTTGCAGTATCTTTGTCCATGACCATGAGCTTGTTTTGGACTTGGATTTGGATGTGGATTTGGGATTGCCCTGCAGTATCTCCCAGGATGGAGCTGCAGTATCACACACCCAGCAAACTTCCAGCCAGCCCCAAAAGATCAGGGGGCACAGCCAGACCCAAAAGATCAGGGGGCACAGCCCAGGGGATCAGGGGCACAGCCCAGGGGATCAGGGGGGCACAGCCCAGGGGATCAGGGGCACAGCCCAGGGGATCAGGGGCACAGCCAGAGCCAGGGGATCAGGGGGCACAGCCCAGGGGATCAGGGGGCACAGCCCAGGGGATCAGGGGGGCACAGCCCAGGGGATCAGGGGCACAGCCCAGGGGATCAGGGGCACAGCCCAGGGGATCAGGGGCACAGCCAGAGCCAGGGGATCAGGGGCACAGCCCAGGGGATCAGGGGCACAGCCCAGGGGATCAGGGGGCACAGCCCAGGGGATCAGGGGGCACAGCCCAGGGGATCAGGGGGCACAGCCCAGGGGATCAGGGGCACAGCCCAGGGGATCAGGGGCACAGCCCAGGGGATCAGGGGCACAGCCAGAGCCAGGGATCAGGGGGCACAGCCCAGGGGATCAGGGGCACAGCCCAGGGGATCAGGGGGGCACAGCCCAGGGGATCAGGGGCACAGCCCAGGGGATCAGGGGGCACAGCCCAGGGGATCAGGGGGGCACAGCCTGGGGGATCAGGGGCACAGCCAGAGCCAGGGATCAGGGGGCACAGCCCAGGGGATCAGGGGCACAGCCAGAGCCAGGGATCAGGGGGCACAGCCCAGGGGATCAGGGGCACAGCCCAGGGGATCAGGGGCACAGCCCAGGGGATCAGGGGGCACAGCCCAGGGGATCAGGGGGGCACAGCCTGGGGGATCAGGGGCACAGCCAGAGCCAGGGATCAGGGGGGCACAGCCCAGGGGATCAGGGGCACAGCCAGAGCCAGGGATCAGGGGCACAGCCCAGGGGATCAGGGGGGCACAGCCCAGGGGATCAGGGGGGCACAGCCCAGGGGATCAGGGGCACAGCCCAGGGGATCAGGGGCACAGCCCAGGGGATCAGGGGGCACAGCCAGAGCCAGGGATCAGGGGCACAGCCCAGGGGATCAGGGCACAGCCCAGGGGATCAGGGGCACAGCCAGAGCCAGGGATCAGGGGGCACAGGGGATTAGAAGGTACATCCAGCCCGGGATATGAGGGAGATCTCTCAGCCCACGCCGCCGGCACCGATTGCTCAAAGGCACACAGGAACCCACACCTAAGGCCCAAGCTCACCCAGCTTTCCCCGGGATTAAGAGCTTAAGCACTCCCACAGTCTGGGTGTAAGCAGCAGGATCACCGTTTGCAGGCTGGTGTCCTCTCCCCAGGTGCTGCGTGCTGACTTTCACTGCCATCAGCCTCCTTAATCCCCTTCTCAGCTCAGGACAAGCAGGGGTCGTCCCCAGGCCAGCACAGACGAAGCAGGGAGCGTGTCCAGGAGGGAGCATAGCACTCCTCAGAGCCCACAGATTAATTAATTAACACTCCACGGACAAATTCACTGCCACGAAAACAACCTCCTGCTGGGAGGGGGAGTGAAAAATGCTACTGGAGTGAAACGTTGATGCTATTTTAGTTAAGACAAGCTCACGCTGAGCCGCCATGAACTTCAATCCACAAACTCTGGCACTGGGACTTTGCAGCAACTGGGCTCCATCACACAAAGCCCCTGCCGCTATAAATACCAGCACACACAAATGCTAGCTGCGTGCCTTGCCTGGAGCAGCCTGGATGCTGCAAGCAGGATTTTTATAGCACCACTGAGTAAGTAATTCTGAGGGGTTTCCAAGCAGAGAAGTAGTAGTGGTGGTAAGTCTTCCCTGCCTGCAGTCTTGCAGCCACATCTGTGAGAGTGTACTTTTAACCAACCATAAATGCTCTCATACAGCAAAACCCCATCCAGGGCTCCTGACAAAGATGTACATACAGTTTATATCCAAACACGCCACTGCTTGGAAAATTACTTACTCATGAGATTTAAAAAATGCTTTCCTTGTAACTCCTAGTAATTGTTAGAACAGATTCAGCAGGGAGCCCAGCCTTTGAAGCAGCATCATAAACATCTTGAAAACAAAGTAGATTTTATGTTGGATTGTGGGCTGCTTCCCTTGACTTTGCTCCCTTGGGCTAAACACAAAGTTCACTATTGCACAAGATGCCTTCAGTGGAAATTAATAAAGTTCATTCATAAAGTTCATTATATAAGAATCAAAGGTGTCTTTGCTATCTCTAGCAGAGAATAAAAGTTTATGAGAACAGAAAACCTCTCTTCATTTCCTTCCTCCTTCACTTTTAAACTGGATTCTCTCCCTTTGTTCTCCCAGAGCAGCAGTCTGTA